CTGTATATGCATTAACATATTTGGTGTAACAAGCAAAAACTAAATGAAATATTTGGTGTAACAGGCATTAACATAACTGGAATGCAAATAATTCATCATTACTTAATAAAAGCAAAAAGTAAAGCAACGAAGCTACATATGACTATTGATTATAAATGGTCTTCAAAATGTAAGTAAAACACAATGCAAAAGCAGAAAGTAGAAGATTGAATGTGAGAAAATTAAGGAATCATGATAGATTTTTTAATAGATACACTAAAGTGAATAAGGAACTGTCTACTATTCTCAACCGTTGTTGCACATTTTGTAGTGGTGATAGTTAAACTGATCAAATACATAATTGCGCCTAAGCCTTAGCTGAAATTTACACATCCATTATTCGAATTTCCAACCGATTACGTCAACAGGATATATCCTTTGTCACATTTAGTTCTTGTAAATTGGTGCCCCCCGAACCTCTTTTTTCAACTAAGTTTATGACATTTTCAACCTGAACTCCATACATACGTGTCCTATTTATGTACCATCTATCCGCACATGACACATTTGTCACCGGGAAGCTTCCCGTTATGAAAAAACAGTGGTTCGGGGGCTGTTTTGCATTTTCGCCCCCCGAGCCCCTTTTTTCGACTAAGTTTATGACATTTTCTACCCTAACTCCCGACGTACGTGTCCTATTTACGTACCATCTGTCACTACATGTCGCATTTATCATCGGGAAGCTTCCCGTTACGGAAAAACAGTTTTCCGGGGGCTGTTTTGCATTTTCGCCCCCCGAACCCCTTTTTTCGACTAAGTTTACGACATTTTCAACTCTAACAGCCAACGTAGGTATCCTATTTTCATACCGTCTATCCCTACATGTCACATTTATCACCGGGAAGCTTCCCGTTACGAAAAAATAGTGGTTTGGGGCTGTTTTGCATTTTCGCCCCCCGAACCCCTTTTTTTCGACTAAGTTTACGACATTTTCAACTCTAACTCCCAACGTAGTTATCCTATTTACGTACCGCCTGACCCTACATGTCACATTTGTCACTGGGAAGCTTCCCGTTACGAAAAAACAGTGGTTCGGGGGCTGTTTTGCATTTTCGCCCCCCGAACCCCTTTTTTCAACTAAGTTTACGACATTTTCAACTCTAACTCCCAACGTAGATATCCTATTTACGTATCGCCTGACCCTACATGTCACATTTGTCACTGGGAAGCTTACCATTACGTTCAAACAGTGGTTCGAGTTACTATTCAAAATACCACTATTGAAAACAACATTGTAATTTAAACGAAGATTGAAATTCGCTATGTTCCTTTAACATGTTGCTACTATAGTTATTCTTAATCAAGTAATCTAGGAATGACTATAAAGAATCAGCTCAGAAACTTATAAACAAAAGCTAAAGTGAAGATATTTAAACAACTCCCACTCAATTTGTGAGGCAGATTAACTCCCAAATATCTTAAAGCGAACTTATTTAAACAAAGTAAGTGTGACGTTAATGAAATTGTTCTTACCAAAAAGCAAACGTCGAATGCCCAACTTAGATTCCCAAGAGTTGTGACAGTTTGGCAACTACATTATTAAGATGCTCGACCTTTGTATTTGTCTCCTCCCTTGCCTTTTGTCCCTCCTCCCGCTCTTTCAACATCTCATTGGATAATTTAATGCGCTCCTCTCGCTCTTTCAACAGCTCATTGTAACATCTCTCGCGCTCCTCTCGCTCTGTCATTAACTCGTCATGATCTTTTTGCCGCTCCTCACGAAGTGCCTCCACCTCAGCTCGCATTGCCTTCATGTCCTTATCGTGTGCTCGTGCTGCAAATATGGTAGAGGGTTGCGGGCCACTCCCAAATCCAAGCAAGTACCTTTTCTTCTATCCAAGAACTTGCATTGAAATCTCCTCCTGAGTCAATGGCGTCCCCGACTCGATGGCAGCTGCTTGTACATTGACCATCTCTTGCTATCATTGCAAATAAATAAGACGAAATAAACTTTGGCAACATATATGTATTATTAGGTACTAAGTACAATAAAATATTGAATACATATATTTCTTTGTCACATACTTACATGCAGCTCACGACATTTCGGATGGATCCAGTCATTCGTTTTCTTTGAAGTGTGGCTGTCCTCATAGAACTTTGGGAAATCCAACTCTACATTTTTTGCTACCTATTAACACATCAACGTATAAATCAATGACACTCAAAGCAGATTTTTGAAGACAGATTTGTTGCAGACAGATTTGTATGATAACAGAGTTTTTACAGACAGATTAGTAGTTTAGACACATTTCTGAGCAATCACAGATTTGTATAGACAAATTTTCATTAACAGATTGTTAAACAAATTTCTAGACAGATTTGGAGACAGATTTTTTGACAGATTTGCAGCCATATTTTCAGAAAGATTTGCAGCCAGATTTGCAAATAGATTCTGTCCAATAGATTTTTGCAAACAGATCGACTAAGATACCCACTTATAATCACTGAAGATTATGTGTATTCTAACATATGTGTGTACAGGAATATCCCTTTTTTATGAATGTATTTACTTTAATCTAAAACAAATAGAGCTATTTTGCTTATAAGTACCTCATGTGTGTGTGTACAGATTTTTTGTAGATTTTTCCAAACAGAATTGAAAGAGATTTTCCCAAGCAGATATTGCGAGACAGATTTCGAATGAAAAACAGAGTATAGTCCTTTGACAGATTTCGAATGCAAACATGTGGCAAGGGTATCATTAACATAGTTTTTCCACACAATTTTTTTGCAGATAGTGGATGTTTAGTAACAGAGTTCAACATATATATAGTCTAAAATATGTATGGATTCAAGTTTAAAAAAGTTCAAACTCACCATAGCAGCCATTGCGATAGGAAATGAGCGAGATCCATTGGTATGATTGTACGGCAATTGACTCCTATTACTCTTCCCAGCTTTTGACCGTTTCTAAAAATAAGACAAGCAGATAAACATTTTTTTTGTAAATATTAAGGCATATCACATGTTCACATAGATGTATGTACTCTATGTAATATATTATTTTACCTGATGAGATGCATCTTGCCATGCCACATCGATCAAATGCTTCCAATCATCTAAACTCACCCCTACAGGCAGATGAGCATAGATCTCATCACGTGGAAGTCCCTCTAACAATTCAAATTCTTGCTTCAAGGTGTACCTCCAATATTTGTACAACCCATAGGCCTTCTTATTCACAATCTCTTGTGCTTGTAAGTCATTGTGGAAATCGTCTCCAATTTGAAACTTGTCCTACAAGCATAACAAATTGAAATTGTAATCATTAAATAATAGTTTCTGTTATTAGCATACATAATACAATTACATCTTGTGGACAAGTAATATTACTTACAAGAACAGCTTGGATGACGGCCGCTTTTGCAGTCTCATCAAGATCCAGCCATGACTTCACATCTTTCAAAGGGCACAAGGTTCTAATTTGAATTCCTAACTCGTTAGTTGCTGGAGTGGCATACTTGCCAGTCATTGCATTCAACCCTCGATCGATGTGAACATAACATTTTTCCTCTTTCTTGGCTCTAATTATTTTTTGTATGCCTTTGCCAAGTGTCAGTCCGCGTACACGTAGGGGCTTCGAAGTCCCTGTTAACAAAATAACAACAAAAAAATTGGCAACAAATTGGCTACAAAAAAACAATGGCAATGGCAAGTGATAATTGACAAATTTGATACACTTTAATCTTACCTACGCCACTCGGCTATGTTTCGGATGGGGCTTGTGTCTCATCAGAATCAACCATTGGTTAGCTAGTGACATGATGAGATGGTCCCACATTTGATCGGACGGGAAGAACAGGAGATGGAGCAATGGGTGATCCTAAAGGAATAGCAGTTGGCGAGTTTGTTTCTGGCTGCGTGAGTGTCTTCTTCCGAAGCCGACCAGTCTTTAATCCAGGAACCATTTTCCAATCTGCAATACCACAAGTAACACTATAAAGCATGATATGCGTGCTTTAAAATAAATTAGACAAAAATAAATTTTTATAGCATGAACTATCTCAAGTAATACATGCTTAAGTACATGATTTAGCATGATATACATGAACTAAATTACACAAAAATAATAAAAATAAATAAAACTTCATCACAGAAAAAAAGTACACCCAAATAATGCTTGATTATTGCACTTTCAAGCTACAAGAATAAGGAATGGATCACATCAGGGCATCTAACTCTTTTGTGAATATGGGACAGAAGGAATAAGTTAACCGACCTTGAACTGTTTGCTGATCTGTTGAAGCTGATATGTTTGCTGCTGTTGAAGAGTATTTTTCAAGGGCTTCACTAGTTTACATGCAAATTGAGTGAGAGAAAATATAAATAAATAAAAAAATTGAAGATCTCGTCATTCAATGAGGAATGCTTTTGCATAATTCCATTGAACATTCAAAAGATGATGGGTGCTTTCAGAAGCTTTGTTCCATGGTAAATGTGCTTAAATGTAGTCTACATACATGGATGAAAGATATATAACTCTGTCATATATTGCTTAGTATAATTAATAAATAAACTACTACTACTATGAGCATTACGACCTATTGTTTTACATTTGTCAATCCAAAACTCTACTTCATCTAGATTTTAGTTCATTATAATTGAATTTTACCCTTTTAAGGATAACTTAAAAAAAAAAAAAAAGCACTGAAAAATTAGGGGAACACTCTGGAGCGCTAAATTCACTATTTGGGAACACAAGTTTCAAAATGTGCGCTCCAAAACATAAATCATTAGGGTGTTAGCATTTTCTGGTAACATCGGGGCTCTAGGAGGCACAAATGAGCAGTCACATGCTTGTCATTTACAACTTACCTCAAAGACTGCCAGTCACTCTTGGGGCTACCCACATCTCCTGGATTTTGGTCTGCCTGCATATGCACATAATCATTAGTTAGTCTCTTTAGCATTGCAATTCTGCACCAGATTAACAAACGAGCACTTGAAACCTTTAAAGCTGCCTCCTGAAAGTTATGAACATGAAGTGCGGCTTCTTCTGGACTGCTTGCTCCCAACTAGGAAAATTTAGAATTCACAAATTAAATGTCTTGGTTGTTTATTGTATTGAGAAGCAGCACAATATCTAACAAGGTATTTACCCCACCTTTAGTTGATCATTGTGATTAGAAGTATTGTAAAGTGTGAAAATGAAGAATACCTGAAAGTTACATAGCAGAGGGTCATAACAGTCCATAAGAAGAGAAAAAAAGAAAACATATTGACGCACCATAGTTAAATGATTTAACATTCATACTTTTGTTTGAATGCTTTCTCTCCCATTGTCAGTCACCCGTATACATGAGTCGATTATTGCGCTTCTAATAGGATCCTGGGATTAGAAATAACGTCTTTCATTAAGATATCATTCACACCAAATTTGGTACTTGTGTAAAATGTGGGAAGTCAAAAACATAATACAAAACCTTAAAATATTGTAAGAAATCCACTTGCAATAGCTGTGGACAAGTGTGGATTACTTATCCATATGTTTAAAAATGAAAACAATTTATCATTCATTTTAGCCACCTGTTGACATTCTTGGATCCTTGTAATGACAGAAATCATTCACACTCCAAAAATGTTAGCCATTCAAATGGCTAATTCCACACAGAAGAGCAAACATTTTAGCCTGCTTTTGGACTTGGTGTTGGTCCAAACAAGTTGCCAAACAGTTTGTCTAACCAGTAACCACCAGTTCAGCATCTTTTCTTGTGCACGCATTGATGAATAACACAGTTTATCATATTGCACTGGAAGAAACCAAAATGCATGAGGGATTTGCACACAAAATGTTGATTACAGATAGAAGGCAAAAGAGGTTACAAAATTAGCCAAACATAACAAGCCCCTCTAATTAACATTTGCATCCAAAGAGAGATTCTCAAACAAATCAAGTGTCAGCTTAGCACACAACAGTCCACATCTTAAGAAACTACTTTATGTATTCATTTCTAATTACCCCAAGAGAGCACACTTTCTAATTGATTTCCATTGTACGCGGTGTCACCAACCAATAGAAAACAAGAAGTGCCCCAGCCCAAGTGGTCAGATGCCTGCTTGGCCTCCTCATCTGTGGAGGTGACTACTAACTCACTGATGTATTTCCAAAAATAGAAGGAAAAAAAAATACAAAACCACAAATGGGATTAGATGGACATCCCCCCTCTTCTCCCACTAGCTTAACCATATAGTCCTCATCATCGGAATATGATATTGATACCCACTTATCACTGTCATTGTACCTAATTTTAATGTACATAAAGGATGGCAAAACTCACAAGACATCATCCTTGCACAGTTGCATGTGAGACAACAACCAAATTCAAATAAAGACACCCCCAAAATCTGCTAGCAAGTTGTCTAAAAAGACATTTTGAAAAAGAAAAGGAAGCCGGTACTATGTCATTACCATGTTTTCTGATGGGAGTTATTATTGTACAACAAGACTTCCTAATTGTTACCCAGAATTTTTAACACTGGATATGCTTTATGATACACAAAATAAGGCCCAAGTAAAATTCACAAATAAAAGCATCCCCAATTCAAACTGACAAAAGCAATAAATTTCTTTTACACAAACAAACAAACACAAAGATGATCATACATACATACATACACACAAAATGCATACCTATGTAAAAACATGGGTGAATTACACTTTGTGGTCACAAAATTGGAATACCAGAGCCATTGTTTAAGGAACTGGTATATATTTTTTCAATTCTGCATCATATGTTGTGTTTTAGCTATTGTTTCATGGATTTGGTTGATAACCTACTTATTTGGTGTGAATTTGGGGTGTGCAGAAAGATGAAGAAGTGGAGTTCTTTAGGCAGAAGTTTCTAACCTTTTTCTATGTTTCCCTAGCAACTAACATGGAAGTGTACAAATTGTGGTGGACATATGGTCCCCCACCTGCTTCTTGAGCCTCAAATAATATGCTTACTTGTGGCTTTGCATCATTGGTTTTGCCCAAAATGTTCCTCTATTCATTCACATTAGCCCCTCATGTCTTCCTACAAATGACATGTAAGAGGTTAAAAGATTAAAAGAGAGAGAGAGAAAGAAAATTATGGAATGTTAGTGTAGGAGCTAATTTTATACAACCATGCTGCTTGGTTAAGTTAGAGGAGAGACAATTGAGCTAGATATGTACTCAACGTTTAAATAATTGTTTGGTCAAGTGTTTAAACAAGTATAATATTTGGATGGGTGAAGTACTAGTGAAAGGTGAACCAAGTTAGTGATAAGTCAATGATTAGTGAGCTAATATTTATCACTTCAGGAAAAATCGTCACATGAAACACAATTATGCCTAGAATAGAGTAATATGAACAAGTCATTATATAATACTCTTAATGATAAAATCAAAAAATACAAAGGAATCACTTAAGTCCAAGTAGAGGTACAGTATCACACAAGCTGAAACTTACACTATATATTGAGAGAGTAGCTTGCGATATTAACTTAAGTATTGGAGTGTTCCTGATTGATCATTTGGGCTAACAAAGACTAACGGGTTTGTGATTACACGTCATAAGAAAGCTCATTGATATTGATATTACCATTGTCATCTACTCATTCTAGTGCGGTTCAACTATTTCTCCGCCCATTAACAAATAAAGTGTGAATGTTATTTGTGCGTTTCTTTGAAAATAGGCAAAAAGACGACAACAACAACAAAAAAAGAAAAAAAAGAAAGAGCACAAAGTTAACTTAAAAGCAGTTGTTAAACCAATCTAATTGGCCTTCTAAGCCAGAAATAAGGTTAAACTTTATAATATTCACCCACAAATCACCATATACTTGAATATTTTTGGCATAAATTCATTTCACTACATTTCGCTATCTATCTATGGTATTTTTAAAAATGTTAACATTCAACACCAATGATATTGATCACTTCAATACTATAATAATTAAAATTTTATATTATAGAATGTGTCTCTGTTTGTTAGAATCAATCTCACATTTATAAAGCATCAAGTCCTTTAGTAAGTAAATTTTGGTAAATCTTGGTAAATTTTTTTGAAAAAATCTCAAATCAAGGTTACAGTAAAATTTTAATTTGTAATTTATTTTTATGAAAAACAAGTTTGTCATGTATTTGATATAAATCTTTTTTTTTTCCGTTTTTGTGTATTAGACTTGTATCAAACTAAGTCTAGTGTAATTTAAATTTTTTTTAGACATTTTGTCTCACTGATATGCAATTATGTCAAAAAAAAAAAAACAAAACAGCACAAAAAATTACTATTGCTTTCTTCCTTCTTTCGGTATTATGATAACAAAATGCACTCAGGGAGATGTGTGGCGGTGTGTCTGTCAATATTAGAAGATTTTTTTACTGCATTGTACGAACGAAAATGTGTGGTGGTCCCAAATCAGCCACACCAACCTTACACGGCAGCACAATTGTTCGTACAACGCACACAAGCAGAAACATGGATACAAACAAGAGTAAATGTTCGTAAGAAAATAAAACCTGCAATTGCACTGTCAGCCTGCAATTGCACTATCAGCACTGTCAGCCTAACAAATATGGTTTGAAAGCTGATGATTTTGTTATTATAAGTATAGAAATTTCATAGAATTTTCAGAATTTTCTGATTTCCACATATTTCTGATTTCCAGATTTGAGCGTGATTTCCAGATTTTCAGATTCGCAAATACAGACCAAGGTGATTTCCAGATTTGGACAAAAACCAAATTATTTGACGAGCACCAGATTTTCTTATTATAAATATAGTATTTTCATAGAATTTTCTGCATTTTCAGATTCCCACATTATCCAGATTTCCAGATTTCAGATTTCCAGAATTTGTAGACCAAAGTGATTTCTAGATTTCCAGATCTCAGATTTTCATAATTTTTAGATTTCCAGATTTTCTTATTATAACTATAGAATTTTCATAATAATAGAAGTTTGACGAGCACCAATTGTTCCAAAATAATACCAAAAAAACTCATTCATGATAGTGTTTTATATCACAACATATTGACATTTACAAAGATAGATCCCCCTTCATTATAAAATGAGTTTCCTTTGCATTTGTGCACCAATTGAACTTTCACAATGCTCTAATTATGACATGCACTAAAGCATGATATACATCAAGATTCTACATCAACATCTGTATCAAAATCACTTTGTAGGTCATATTCTTCGTCTGTGTCGTCACCCTCCCTCATTAATCCATCTTCATCATCACAGATGAAGCCAGCATCTGTAACACCCTTGGCTTCTACACGTCTGACAGATTGCAACACTTCCATTGGAATAATTTCAGATTCAATATCATGTCGACGCAAAACCACATCATCGTCAATAGCCATAGCAGGTACGACCTCGGTGGTTTCTTCTTGTTGGAGCACATCATCAGGTTGTACGACATCCATCTCTGGCACATCCCAAATTCCTCGATGTTGGAACTTTTCTACGACTCTCCAATTGGTACCTAATTTGGTATCATTAACATAGAATACTTGTTCAACCTGACTTTGTAATACAAATGAGTCATCTTTGTACCATCGACTTGTTACATCAACTGTTGTGAAATGTGGTTCTACACGCATAGTTCTACTACTACCGGTGTTAAACCATTCACATTGGAACAATACAATCCGACGTCTGAACAAATAGTTCAGTTCCCACACTCTGCACAAGTGTCCATAGAAGTGTATTAATTGGCCTTGATGCTCCCCTTCCACGACTAATCCACTATTCTGACTTTTCCAACGGTTGTCACGGTCGATAGTATGATAACGGACACCATTACAAATACATCCTGAATATGTGTTCACTAAGCCACTAGGACCATTGGCTAATGACCACATATCATCAGTTGCTTCGGGGAAAACTTGGCTCCGCAATTCATTCATCTACATGAAAAACATGTGTCATGTTACTAGCATGCGTGACATTTACGTAATGTACGATCTATGGTAGGATATGAGAATACTAGCTTACATGATCTTTGAACCATTTAGGGAATTCTTTCCGATGTTTGTTTTCGATGTTGAACGCACCGGCTCTTTGGTGTAACAAGTTCTTGTGCTCCCTAGTTACAATAAATGCGATTCAAAAATATTTACTAAGATAAAGACAAATCAATTTACAACAAAAACATTATAAATACATTTGAAGGATTCATACTCTACGTGTTTATCCACTTCTGTGCTATTGTGTAGGGCAAACCAATGAGCTAACTCGCGTTCAGCTACGGACACATCGGGCGCCCTTGTCATTAGACCAAAGGGACGTACAGTTTGAGTGAATACCGCCAACCCTGGGCCACGGTCACCCATGTCATAATTCCTTTCTGGGCGGTTAAACAATGTTTCCACTCCATCCAAATACATTGAACAAAATGTTGTACATTCTTTGGAAATGTAAGCCTCGGCAATAGAACCTTCAGCATGAGTTTTGTTGGCCACAAACCCTTTTAGACGGCCAAGCAACCTAAATCCCAAGCCGATGACAATGTTATAGGACAATCTTTATATCAGCAGTAAAGCGTTAATTAAAATTTGATAGTAATTTGTACAAGGGCTGAGTTAATACCTCTCAATTGGGTACATCCATCGATATTGCACTGGGCCTCCAAGCATAGCCTCTCGAGGCAAGTGAATTGCCAAGTGGACCATGACATCAAAAAAAGTCGGCGGGAAAATCATCTCAAGCTTACAAAGTATGAGTACGATTTGTTCATCCAATTTATGAAAATCTGAACGCCTCAATGTCTTTGAACACAATTGTTTGAAGAAATTTCCCAACTCAAAAAGTGTCGTTCCGATTTCCTTATTAAGGTAGCCACGCATTCCAATTGGAAGAAGGCGTTGTATAAGGACATAACTGTCATGACTTTTGAGGCCAGATAATTTTCCAACTTGAGCGGTGACACAATTGGAGATATTTGCTGCATAGCCATCAGGATACTTCATTGATTTCAAGAAATCACAAAAGCCTTCTCTCTCTTTCACAGACAATGTGTACAATGCGGGAGGCTTTTCAAAGGACCCATTAGAATGCCTCTTCAAGTGTAATTTTTTACGTATTTTCATGTCCTCCAAATCTAAGTGTGTTTTGTCCGTGTCCTTGTTCTTTCCATCTACGCTCAAAAGTGTCCCAACGACATTATCACATATATTCTTTTCAATATGCATGACATCAAGGTTGTGTCGAAGCTTCAACGTCTTCCAATAGGGCAAGTCAAACATAATGCTTCTCTTGCTCCAATTCAAATTTTGATGTTCATTCCTTTGTCGTTTTCGATTTTGTGGGTGCTTTCCATACGGCTTGTAAGTCGCATAATCAATTTGCTCTAATATTTGGTCCCCCGATAAGTCCAAAGGTTTGGACCTATGCTCCGTTTGACCATTGAAGAGCTTACTTGTTCGCCAAGTGTGGTTCTCAGGCAAGTGGCGATGAGCACCCATATATCCTATTTTACTCCGTAATCCCTGGGACGATGCATTATTGTTACAATTAGGGCAAGCCAAGTAACCCTTTGTATTCCACCCTGACATGTTACCGTACGCAGGGAAGTCATTTATGGTCCACATTACCACCGCATGCATTCTAAAAATTTTCCTGTTCGATGCATCATATGTTTACACACCATGCTCCCACAAATTCTTCAATTCTTTTATTAGTGGTTGCAAGTAAACATCAATGTCTCTTCCAGGTGCCGAACGTCCGGGAATAAGCAATGACATCATGCAATATGGCTTTTTCATGCACTTCCACGGTGGGAGATTGTAAGGCATTAAGATTACGGGCCACATGCTATATGATGTGCTCATATTCCCAAATGGATTGAAACCATCTGTTGCCAGCCCTAGCCTTACATTTCGAGAGTCATCAGAAAACGTCGGATGTTGCTTATCAAAGTCCTTCCATGCTTGACCATCGGCCGGGTGCCTTAATATGTCATCATCCACACGCTTCTCATTGTGCCATCTCATATCTGCGGCTATTTTTTTGGACATATACAATCTTTTCAACCTCGGTGTCAAAGGAAAGTACCGCAATACCTTGTGTGGAATCTTTTTACCACCATCATCGTTCAACTTGTATCTACACGCGTCACATGTAGGGCATTTCTCCAAATTAGCACTCTCTTTCCAAAATAGTACACAATCATTCTTGCACGAATGAATTGTTTCATATCCCAAACCCAAGTCATGTAAGAACTTCTTAGCATCATAGAGTGTCCATGGAACTGTTTGATCACATTATGGTAGAATGTCCTTGAATACCTGTATAACCATATCGAATGACTTGTTGCTCCATTTGTTGTACACCTTCACATGAAGCATCTTAATGACGAATGATAACACAAAAAACTTTTCACATGTCGGGTACACTTTGCATTGTGCATCTTCGAATAATCTAGTGAACTTATGCAAATCCTCCCTTTCCAAATCATTAGGTTCCTCGTTGGTATGATCATCCATAAGACCACTCACGTAAATTTCGTCCAACATAATAGGCAATTCATCCATAGGCGGATCATCGATATCTGTCATACATTCGCCACTACCTCCACATTGGTCATTTGATGCACTAGAACGAGACACGGGAACATGTTCCCCGTGATGCACCCAAGTTATATACGAAGATGCCATTCCTCTTCGGATCAAGTGCATCCACACAACTTGTCTGCTATATTTTGTGCCATTAATGCAATCGACACACGAACACCTAATTTCATCCTCTACGCCTAAATTTGCCGTAGCAAAATCAAGGAATGACTTCACCCCTTGTTGATACTCTTTACTTGTCAGCCTATTATTTATCGTCATCCAACTCTTGTCCATTTTGTCACCTACAACTCACACAAAGATTAACCGAGGAACAAATGAGAACATGCATTTCAAGTTGAGATAGATTATGTTGTTTTTCATTCACTATTTGGCTTGTCACACAAATCTCTTTGAGGGTGGGACTTTATGACACGATTTGTTCTGAAACAATGCGTAATTATGGAAGTTAATTTAAGAAATGACCCGTAATTTTGGACCACTAGATAGCATAACTAGTAGAGCACTAGTACTAATGAAACCATATGGTCAATAATAGAATGATATATCAAAAGAATCAAAAACATTTTCATGGTCTTCACAGTGTGTGTGCATGACATGTTATTTATATAAAAAAAAAGTAAAGACAGAAACACCAATAAAAGAGAAAAGAACATTCATCCTATTCTGAAAATCACAAAACAAAAAATCATACATGGCAACTGTGCATGTCCGCAAATGCATATTCACACATTTCCAACCTAAGCTTTGGACATAAACGAGCTTTCTCCTTCTTTGGAAATATGGACTTAAATTACTAAGGAGGCAACATGGTCTCAAAGGCACCAGAGGGAAAACTAAGAAATGCAACCCATGATTTAAAACCCAAAAACAAAAAACTAAGGTCAAGGACAAAGGATGAATGTAGCTGATCACAAGTACATAGAAATAAAATCCATTTAATCTCAAGAAATTATTTTGGTTAGTCAATTCCCTGAATGTTCACTTACAATATTATTATATTCTACAATCATATTTCAACTTAAAATGCACAGTGACACCAAATGTTTAAAAAAAAAAAAGCATACACAGCTAGGCCAACAGATCGAAAGTCATGATCCATGGGTACCAAGCTACTACTATATGTTCATTCAAGAACACAACATCAGCCGAAGAATCTACAAGGACAATCTAATCCCTGCCCTTGTTTTACCAAAACTATGATCACTGCATCTCTTTTCCAAGACACAAAATATCATACCTCAAGTGTGAATACTTATTCATTTGTTGATTTTAAAATCATTCATATCTCAAGATTCTCAACCTCCACATATTACATCAATTTCATACATTGGAAATGCAACTATGAAGAAGAACAGTAGGTATATATTAAGTGCCTCAACATTCTTACCAAGGCATCCAAAAGCAACGAGCAGCTAGTATATTTGCTCAAAACCATAAAAATTCCTCTTTTATATGTACCACTACTACAAGACTTTGCCCTAGTTTATTTAGCAAATGGCTTGATTCACCCCAAGCATTGCCCTAATTTTTAATTTGAATCACATTTCAATAACAATGCCCTAATTGAGGGCATTTCGTACTTCATATTCTGTGTGTTTTGACATACATATATATATATATATATGTATGTATGTGTGTGTGTGTAAACAGAGACGGATAGAAACAGAGGGAAATCGAGAGGGAGATACAGAGAGAGGGAGAGACAGATGCGAAATGGAGGACATACCTGGGAGGGAGTTCGGGGGATGATCCAACTCAGGGGAGTTCGGGTGATGGAGACTATTCTTGTAGAGAAGAGGGCAGAGGCGTGAGTGTACATATGATTTGCGTATATAATCGAGTATATATGGAATCAAGGTTGTGAATATATGATTTGTGTGTGTGTGTATATATATATATACATGTATATGTGTGTGTGTGTGTGTGTGTGTGTGTGTGTGTGTGTGTGTAAACAGAGAGAGAAAGAGGGGAACCCGAGAGGCCTTGTGAGATGTTTAAGAAATGGAGAGGGAGATATAGGGAGAGAGAGGGAGATACCTGGGAGGAGGGAGTTCGGGGGATGATACAGCAACTCTTGCGATGGAGACAGAGCAGTGATGGAGGCGGGAGTTCGAGAGGGAGGGAAATGGAATACTTTTGCAATGAAAATAAAAGAAAAAAATATTTATTACCGACCAAAAATTATTTTCGTCGGTAATATTTGTAATGAAAAATTAATTTTTCCTCCAGTGGTTCGTGGCATGTTTGGCTACCAAAAACATAGTCGGTGAAACTGAATTATTTGGCGACCAAAATCAAATTAGTCGCCGAAACCAATCATTTCCACGACTAACAGTACTGTTAGTAGCCAAAAATCAAAGAAATACGAAAATAAAAAATAAAAATATATAAATATTATACAGTTAGCGACCATTGTGATATTTAGTCGGCCAAAAGTTAATATTTAACGACTAACATGTAATTAGTCGCCATTAGTGGAGACTATTCCGACTACATATGACATTAGTAGCGAAGTAGGTCACATTTACCGACCAAAACAGTTTAGTAGCTAATACGTCTTAGTATTGACCACCAAATAATGTTTGGTAGCTAATGTGTGTACCATTGGCGACCAAAACATTTTTAGTAGCTAATGTATACACCTTTGGCGACTAAATTGACTTTAGTCGGCAAAATTAGTCGCCAAAGCTGTAATTTCTTGTAGTGTAAGCTGGTCCTGGTTTGGTGGTGGTGGTGGTGGTTGTAACAGTAGTAATGGTAGTAGTAATAAAATAATTGTGGTACTTATGACAACAATAATAATGGTGATTGAAGTGGTGGTGGTGCCATGATGGTGGTGGTAGTGGTGGAGGTGACATGGTTGCGACAGTGCTGGCGGTGACATGGCGGCGGTGGTGGTGGTGGTGGTAGTGGTTGTAGCAGTAGTGATAATAGTAGTAACAAAATAATGGTGGTACTTATGGCAACAATGACAATAGTGATGAAGGTAGTGGTGGTAATGGTTGTAGCAGTAGATATTGTGGTGGTGACGGTAGTGATAGTGGTGGCGGTGGCATGATGGTGGTGGTAGTAGTAGAGGTGGTCGTGGTGGTGGTAGTAGTAACAATAGCATGATGGTGGTGGTAGTTGTAGCAATAGCAGTAGCAGTAGCGGTGGTGGTACTGGTGATGGTAGCAATGGCATGATGGTAATGGTAGTGATAGCGGTAGTGATGGTGATGGTGGTAATAGTGATAGTGAGTTTATAATAGTGTATATCGATACTTATGTTTAGTATTTATAAATTCAGTTAGAATTAAGTAGGTTTTATATGATTTAAAATTTTCTTAAATTTTAATTTATATTTTAAGAAGCACTTAAATTTTTAAGTGATATCAATTGTGATTATCAAACAAGCTTAATTGATTATCACTTGACACATTTAGTTTTAAGAGTTAAATTGTCACACCCCGAAAATAATTCAACATGAAACCCCAAACGAACAAACATTCTCTATGCCTTGACAATAACTCTTCCATCTTCATTCATATAATAAATGGGTTTAATACAAAAGTTCCACATGCAGTATACATTCACTAAACAAAAGGATATATGAATCTATAGCATGTGAAGCACCTATCATCAAAATAATAGAGTGCCCTTACGGGCTTACATCTTCCAAGGCAATAGCCCGGTTACACAGAAAGGGTCTTTCGAACCCATACATGTTAGCCCTTGGTTTTACAAAAAGAATTCACAACAAAAGAAGAGCCACGTGCTCTTTACCATTATCCACACCCTCAACTTGGCGGGATCACCACGCTTTACCTGCACCAAAACCCATAGGGGTGAGCATAAAGCCCAGTAGAGAAATACCAAACAAAGTATATACATTTATGTTAGATGACCAAAATTGAATGCAAGTGCAAATGCGATGCAATACTTTTTCAAAATATTGTTCACGTCTTCCTTGAGAAACACCATGCATTTCATTTACAATTA